CCTGCAGTGAAGGCGTAGTAGCTGCGACGTTAGGTGGGTGATCCGAACCCCGACTACAGCGGCAGGTGGAGCTCCCCAGGTACCGCTACGACGCTGGGATCTGTATGTTGAACCAGATTCTCCTGGGGCTACATGTGGACATGTAGACGATTCGGGGATGACGACTAACGACAATGGAAGGTCATCACGTCTCACTGCGGTGGAAGGGGCAGTGACAGGGGTCCGTGCGGTGAGCCGGATTCCCATACGACAACTACAGGGGTCCGTGCGATGAGCCGGATCCCCACGATACGACAACATCGACGAAGTGTCCCTGCTTCGAGCAGGACACTCATACGACGACAACAACGACAGGGGTCCGTGCGATGAGCCGGATTCCCACGATACGACACCAGCGACTAGTGTTCCTGCAACGAGGAGGACACACCTACGACTGAGACGACAGGTATCCCTGCAACGTGCAGGATTCCTAGACAACGGCAGAGACAGGGGTCCATGCAATGAGCCGGATTCCCATACAATAGTCTCAAGCCCCCACGTAGTACGTCACAATTTATGGCGCCCGAACAAACAACGGCAACGAAAGGTATTCCTGCAACGAGCAGGATACCTATACGACGGCAGAGACAGGGGTCCGTGCGATGAGCCGGGTTCCCAGACGACAGCACCGACAGGGATCTGTGTGAGAAACCAGATGCCCAGACGACAGCGGCGACGAATGGGAAGTATGACCCGAGTCTGCAGCAGCATCGACGGTGGTTACAACAGACCCAGCCTGAAACGACGGCCAGGTGAAGCCGGATGAGCCCCAGCCTACTACGACGAGTTGGGGGGCGGAATGAGCCTCAGCCTGCGGCTGTGACGACAGGAGGGCGACAGTGGACCCCAGGCTACAACGGCAGACGGAGTCAACCCATACTTGGTGTGCGGAACCCAAGTGCCTGGCTGGATGTCGTGTGCTGAACACGAAGACGATTTCGGGGGTGGCGACTAGCTTCCATGGAAGGCCACCACGTCTCACTGCGGTGGAAGGGGCAGTGACCGGTCCGTGAGGATTATTCTGGACCACGGCGACATCTGTGTGATGAACCAGATGCTCGAGATCTCCGACGCAGTAAACCTCAGCCAAGGCGACGGCACGGCTGAGTGTGAAAGTAACATCTTGACGCGAACCCTGGAAGGCCAACCCAAATCTCCGTACTGAGGCCTATCCGGAAACTAAATGTGCTGTATAGCATGTGGTACTTAAACCTGGCATGTGAACTAGTGTTATATGTTTCAGTGTGGAAAAGTACGTCACACGTAAATCAAGTGGTCAAAAACGGCATGGCCAAACTAGAGGATGACCTTGGATTCGTTTTTGCCTGCCGGGTGGTGAGCAAGGCGGCCATGGAGAAGATTGCCGAGAAGGTTGTGTCTGTCCGACGGAAGAGCGCTGCCTTCTAAGAAACGTAAGAGGCCTTCCACATCGGACAGTCCTCAAAAAAGAGAAGAAGGCGTCCAGACCAAAAGGACCACGGTAAAGGCCAAGGCAACTCAGACGATTGACTTGACCTATTGTCTGCTGTGCCCAGATCCTTTTCGGGTATAGCTGCAGCTTCTGTGAAGAACCAACACAGAAAATTTATAAGTACACAGCTACCTACGACCGGCGTGGCCCAAACTGGGCACGGCTCGGTCTCTGCTCCGAAAAAGTCCCGGCCAAGAAAGCCCAGGACGGAGGCAATCCTGGTCAAACCCTCAGGGGGGAGATCTTTCGCCGATGTCTTGGGTGCGATTAAGGCCAAGGCTAAGCCAGAGCAGACCAATACGGTTGTACGGTCGATTAGACAAACCCGGGACGGGGACGTTCTCCTTGAACTGGGTAAGTCGAAAGACAAAGCAGCCTTTACTGCCGAACTGAAGGCAGCTGTTGAAGGCCAGGGCACCGTCCGTGCTCTTGAGCCAAAGACATCAGTCGAGGTTCGAGACATTGATTGTGTGTCGACGGAGGTTGATGTTGTTGAAGCCCTGAAGAAAGCTATCCCCGAGCTTGGCGGGCAAACGGCTTTTCTCAAGGTGTAGCTCACAAAACCCAATAGGAGTCAGCAGCGGATGGCGGTCGCCAAAATGGCAGACGCACATGCCAATAAGGTGCTGGCACTCCAGCATCTGAGAGTCGGGTGGGTCAACTGCAGGCTCAGACGGAGAGTGGACGTAAAGAGGTGTTTTAAATGCCTCTGTTTCAGCCATTCCTCCCGAAACTGCAAGGGACCCGACCGAAGCAAGAACTGCCTTCGGTGCGGGGAGGTCGTTCACATCCGTAAGGACTGGCAAGTCGAGTCCTGTTTCCTTTGCAAAGAAAATGGGCTTGCTGACAAACACTTGAAGCATATATAGCTAGGTCTGGACAGTGTAGTGTATTTAAATCTGCACTACAACAAGCGAAAGCCCTCCCACGAAGATAAGAATCCTTCAGTGCAATCTTGAGCGATCCAGGACGGCTGACGCACTTCTATGTCAGCTTGCCCTAGAACACGATGTAGACACGCTCTTAGTCAGCGAACATTACCAGTACCGTGATAGGGACCCAGCTTTTTGGTTCCCTGATAGTCTTGGTACTGCTGCATTCTGGGCGCGTAATGAAGCTAAAGTACAAGTACGGGGTCACGCGAAGGGCCGAGGTTTCGTTTGGGTTCGGTGCTGGGATGTCACATACTTTAGTGTCTACCTCACTCCCAACGAGGCCATCCGTGACTTTCGTGAGAAGATCGACCGCCTGGAAGAGAGCGTGCGCAATACCACAGGACACGTCGTTGTGGGTGGGGATTTCAATGCTAGGGCTGTCAAGTGGGGAATGACCCTCACAAATTCCCGGGGCAAGTACATTCTGGACTTTGCTGCCAGAGCCGGACTCGTTGTCGTCAACAAGGGCAACACGCCAACTTTCCGGCGCCCTGGGATGCGGGGAACGATCCCAGACATTACCCTTGTATCTGAGTCTCTTTTGCCAAGGATCAGAGCCTGGAGAGTCCTGGAGGATTACACGGCCAGTGACCACCAGTACATAAGTTTTGATGTCCTGGATGGTCATCAGAGACAGACGCGTTTCGTCAAGTGCCCATTCGATGGAATTCAAAAAAATTGGACGTGGCAAAATTCAATGAAGCCATCTTACGAGGAACGCCGGTGGTTCCTCCGCATCTAACGTGGCTCACGCAGAGGCGGTAGTTACATCCATGATGGGACTGATCGTCTCGGCTTGCGATGAGTCTATGCCTCGCAGGAGATTCCGGTGCAATAAGCGACCTGTGTACTGGTGGACTGCCGAGATTGCGGAATTGCGTCGGTCAGCATTGAGAGCCAGAAGACTTGCTACCAGGGCCCGAGAACCTGTAGACAGACGTCGTAAGTCGGATGCTTACAGAGTGGCTAGGAGGTCTCTTCGTCGAGCCATCAACCGGAGTAAACGCAGTTGCTGGGAGACATTAAGGGACGATGTCGATTCCAATCCGTGGGGCCTGGGTTACAAACTTGTAACCAAGAAACTTGGCACCCGCTCTCCACCTTCCGTCATGGATGGGGCCACTATGGAGAGGATAGTCGAGTCCCTTTTCCCGGCTCACACGTTGCGACCACTGCGGGATTTCGGAAGGGTGGATGACGTACCACTTTTCAGTCTTGGAGAGATGGAGGCGGCCATCCTATCCCTGAAGAACAATAAGGCTCCTGGACCCGATGGGGTTCCCGGCGAAGTCCTCAAGAAGGTTTTGACTATTAATAACCCCTTGATCCTTTTGCGCATGTACAACGCCTGCCTAGCGAAGGAGTTTTCCCCTCGTGCTGGAAAACAGCTAGGCTTGTGCTTGTTGGGAAGGGGAAGGGAGACCCAGACCTGCCATCCTCTTACAGACCTCTGTGTATGTTGGATACTGCTGGCAAAGTCCTCGAGAAGTTGATCCGTTCCCGACTGAATTCAGCCGTGGTCGCTGCGGGGGACCTGTCCCCTTGCCAGTATGGACTCAGGATGGGGCGATCTACGGTTGACGCTGTTGAGGAGGTGAAGCAAGCCGTGATGAGAGCTGAGGATTTTAACCACTACTCTCGTAGGGTTGTGCTGCTCGTAACTGTCGATGTGCGAAACGTATTTAATCCTGCGAGGTGGTGCGATATGCTGGATGCTCTGGAGAACACCTTCCACGTTCCTGCATACCTCATGCGTATCATAGAGGATTATCTCCGGTTCCGCCTCCTCATGTATGAAACTACAGAGGGCCCACGGACGATGAGTGTCACTTCCGGTGCTGCCTAAGGTTCCATTCTCGGCCCAGATCTCTGGAGTGTCGCGTATGACAGCCTCCTGAGGTCTGAAATGCCTGAGGAAACTGTTTTGGTTGGGTACGCAGACGACGTTGCAGTTTTGATAGCTGCACGTAGCGTTGAGCTGGCTCAGCTAAAGTTGAACCGAGTTATGCGTACCATAAACACAAGGATGACAGACCACGGTCTCGCTTGCTTTGAGCAAAACTGAGATCGTGATATTAACAAACAAAAAAAAAAAAAACGGATTGACACCATCGTTGAGGGTAGGGGCCGTCGAAGTTTAGACTGTTTGTTCTGCCAAGTACCTTGTGGTGTACAGCAAGCTTAGCTGGCAGGATCAGATTTCAGTCCGTACTCTTGTACGGTGCTGAGGTGTGGGCAGACGCTCTCAATAAGGAGGTATATAGGATGCGGCTCGCCCGAGTGCAGCGTCAGGCAGCACTAAGAGTTGCATCCGCCTACCGAACAGTGTCATAATGCATAATGACAGATGCATAGGTTGGTGGTTTGTTATCAGTGACATGAATAATGTGTGTTTCAGATCAAATGTATAGAGCCGCAGAGTAACATGTAACACATTTGCCAGAGAGGTTGTAGTGAGTCATGGATTTGATGTGCTGGATAACCACTATTACTCAAGGATGCAGATGCATAGGTTGGTGGTTTGTTATCAGTGACATTAAGAATGTGTGTTTCAGATCAAATGTATAGAGTCCATGATACGGTTTGAAGTGATGGAGGCTAACACATTTGCCAGAGAGGTTGTAGTGAGTCATGGATTTGATGTGCTGGATAACCACTATTACACAAGGATGCAGATGCATAGGTTGGTGGTTTGTTATCAGTTACATTTTTTGAGGGGTTGGGTGTAAAACTGATAATCTGTAGATTTTTGGATTGGTAAGGAAAAGGGAAAATACTTATTGTCTACTTAAATCCGTGACAAATTATTAAATCCGTAATAATAGGATTTGTTTTTAAACATCAATGAATAACAAATTCCTAAATCATACTAATATTATAAATGTGAAAGTGTGTGTGTTTGTTTGTTTGTTTGTTTGTTTGTATGTTTGTCTGTTTGTTTGAAGTTCAATCACACATTAACTACCGGTAGGATTGTGTTGTAATTTGGTATGATGATAGCTGACATTACCGATTAACATATAGACATCTCAAAAATCCTTTCGGGCTCCGCCCCAGCGGCTCTAGAGTTTCCCTTGTTAACCTTATGAGTATTCATAAGCTATTTAAAAGGAATTAAATAATTTCGCCAGCTGTTTCAACTACAATTTGTTCCTATGATATTCAATAACAATAACATTAACCTTTTGCGGTCTCATAGCCATTTAAAAAAGTGCCTCTCAACTCGAATGGCCAGCCCTGCTGGACATGGCTACGTTCTATATCAGCTTGTCATGTTTACACGGCGCAGTGCCTCACAGGTCGTACAGCCACTACTAATTTCCCAGTCAGCTCGTCCGGCCAGTATAGGTGGCCATCTAACACACTTTTTTTAAATTGTTTATTAACTATCCCGTAGGCTGCAGCACTAAACAGAGATAGTACCTCAATTCCCAGAATATTAAAATTTTAGTTTGTAAGGTTTCCAGCTCTGTATTACACCTTTTTCACTATAAAATAACCTCAACAGTCAGTGTGTTGTTGTCATGTGAAACTGTGATGTGAGGTTACATTTACCAGGATAAAATATTATTAATATAGACGAGTCGATTTAGCCCAAAAAAGCCTCTAAGATAGAACAAATTCCAACAAATAGTTTTTCGACGGTTTTTGGTAGTAATAGGTGTAGAAAGTACCAGAAAAAAAGTCTACCAAAATCGGACAACCGCAAGTCGGGGTTTTCCAAGATGGCCGCCGTGAGGCCCTCAAATCGACAAGATGACTACAAATTCGTCGATTCATAGCTCCAGGATTGGCCGATTTCCACGAAAATTGGCAAACACATGTAGAACTATATTCCCAACCTTAAATATGAAAACTGGGCAGACAAAGTAACCCAAAGATGAATTTTCAGGGTATTATGTGCTTAAGAAATAAGATTTTTTACCACAAATATATGTTTTTCTAATATTTTGTACAAAGTTTGTTATAATTTCAAATTTATTTTTTCACCATTAGATTCAACACAAAAAACCTAACAATTTAGTATATTGAATCTTTTTTCTGCTTCAATTTGTTACAGAGATATTGAAAGTAATAACTTTAGTATGTTTTCTTGCCGAGATAGCTCAATGTTAATCTTATGGAGAATAAGCATAAATATTAATATTATTTTTCATTAAACCTATAGGCTATAGATAAGACTTTTTGTTCTGCTTCATATTATCTTTTTAATATTTTTTTACTAAAAATTCCTTTTTTGGCAGTTACAGTATCATTGCAGCAAACCCACATATTTGGTTCCTCAGTTTTAATCATAAAGAAAATAAGCAAAAATCAATTTCTTATTAGTCCGAGAAGTATAGAATATAACCTTAAAAACAAAACAAGAAAATGTTTTATGGTTTTATGTTGTAGTTTTGGGTGTGCAGAGTCGGATTTTCCCAACATTGGACAAATTTTGAAAAAAGATACCATAAGCATTTTGTATGCACAATTTTCTAAATATTGACTTGGGACCAACATCGATATTTATTGGGTGGTCAGTACTTCATTTCGATGGGAAATTTATTTTGGCCGCCATTTCGGATCCACCTTATTGGATATATTTTTTTGTTGTTGTAACGACAGTGTTGTGACACATTATTACTATTTAAACTAGATTTTCACGCATATTCCATTGCCGAAATCCGTTTTTAAATGCATTTTTGTTTTTAACGCTTTGTACTTTGACATTTTTTTACGATTATTTTCCTTATCTTCAGTTAGTAGTTCATTCTTAAATAATAAATGATGTAAGGGCTTTCATTTGAGCTATTGATAATTAAAATTGGACAAGTTAGAGACGAGCTACCAATCCCAACAAAATATTAAATTTAACTTTTATAAATCAGCTTTATTAAATTATTTATATCTCGGGTTCTTAATACGTCACCAAGTTCTTTCTGGTCTCAAATTACTCAGTAGAGAATTAGGTTTTTTATTTTATTAGTCACTAAATAATATCTGACTAATTAATAAAAAATGAGTCATGCACCTTAATTTAATATTAAATTATTTGCATTTGAAATTTGTCTTTAGTTAAGTACATATATCCCCAATTCTAATAACTCGCAATAAATAATCCATAGCTACAGTAAAAGTCAATACTTTGATGAATCTTTTAAGATTATAAAGAGTATTGGGAGATATTTTTGGATTTGGGGGTATATGTCTTAAACTAAAGGTTAATTTCGAAAAAAAATATTGTTAAATAAGACAGACCCATATTAAATTTGTCACATTTTATTTAGTGATTAAAAAAAATAACCCAAACATTTACTGAGTAATATGAAACCAGAAAGAACTTGGTGGCGTATTAAGAACCCGAGATATAAATATTTTAATAAAAATTTATTTCTAAATAGTGAAATTTAATATTTTGTTGGGGTTGGTAACTAGTCTCTAACTCGTCAGATTTTAATGATCAATAGCTCAAATGAAAGCCCTTACATCACTAAATGTTTAAGTCTAGAACGAACTGCAAGCGTTAATATGTACTGGAGATATAAGAAAAATTATCTTAAAAAATGTTCAAAATACGAAACGTCCTTAAGAAATGTATGTAGGAGATTTTTCGTTTGAATAAATCTTTAAAACGAAAAAAAATATTTAAAAACTCATTTTGGCAATGGAATGGGCGTGGAAATCTAGTTTAAAATAATGTGCTTCAACATTGCCATTACATTAAAAAAAATATTTATATCCAATATGGCCGATCCAAGATGATGGCCAAAAACACGTTCCCTTTTGAAATGACACTGTCATTACATTTAAAAAAATATTTATATCCAATAGGGGGATCCAAAATGACGGTCGAAAACACGTTCCCTATCGAAATGAAGAAATGACCACCCAATAAATATCGGTGGTGGTCTGAAGTCAATATCAATGAAAATGCATGTGGATTTTTTAAATTTTTCCAATGTTAAGAAAATCGGTCATATGAAATCTTGATTCTAGGGGTTTTCCAGTAGACCGATTTTTGGCAATTTTTACTATGTTACTCTGCATACCCATCACTACAACATAAAACCATAAAACGTTTTCTTGCAATTTTTTAAGGTAATATTCTATACTTCTCGGACTAATAAAAAATTGATTTTTGCTTATTCTCTTTATGATTAAAACTGAGGGACCAAATACGTAGGTTTGCTGCAATGATAACTGCCAAAAAAGGAATTTTTAGTAAAAGATTTTTAAAACAGATAATATGAAGCAGATCAAAAAGTCTTATCTATATAGGTTTAATGAAAAATAATATTAATATTTATGCTTATTCTCCATAAGATTAACATTGAGCTATCTCGGCAAGAAAACATACTAAAGTTATTACTTTCACTATCTCTGTAACAAATTGAAGCAGAATAAAGATTCAATACACTAAATTGTTAGGTTTTTTGTGTTGAATCTAATGGTGAAAAAATAAATTTGAAATTATAACAAACTTTGTACAAACTATTAGAAAAACATATATTTGAGGTAAAAAATCTGGGTTACTTTGTCTGCCTAGTTTTCATATTTAAGGTTGGAAATATAGTTCTACATGTGTTTGCCAATTTTCGTGGAAATCGGCCAATCCTGGAACTATGAATCGACGAATTTGCAGTCATCTTGTCGATTTGAGGGCCTCACGGCGGCCATCTTGGAAAAACCCGACTTCCGGTTGTCCGATTTTGGTAGACTTTTTTCCTGGTACTTTCTACACCTATTACTACCAAAAACCGTCGAAAAACCATTTGTTGGAATTTGTTCTATCTCAAGTGCCTATATTTACTCGACTAATAGTGTAACTGTAGGATATGACTAGAAAAGTTCAAGGCCTAGTTTCATAAGAAAAGGGGAATCGTACATAGTTTCCATAGCAACAGTAGTTCTTTTGAAAATTTTTAAAATTAAATATTTTGTTATGTATGAACTTAAGCATACAACTTAGATTTTAGTTTTATTTCTTATTTCATTCGCTTTTAATAAAATATAAAAATATTAGACTTATTTGAATTTATTTTTAGTTTCAACGTGTAAAACCTTAGCCCTTACCATAATTGACAAAAACAAAATACTTAAAAAAAAAAAAAAAAAAAATTGCAATTTCTTTTTAAACCGTTTTGTAAAGCATAAAAAAAGAAACAAATTAGTATATTGAAGCGCTGTTGTATGCCTAACTTTCACGGAGAAAATTCAAAAATAGTGTAATTTTAAATTCCCATGTTATTCTTATGGAGAAAATGAAAACTGTTGTAGTTTACTTGTTTATGGATATATGTTGATAAAATTTGGCAAATTTATTTATTTCATCCTATACTATTGACAATTGGTCAAAAAACACTTTTTACCTTCCCCGTAGCAGCAAACCTAAGCACTCGTTAAATCTAATGTTATTTAAATTGGGAATAAATATGTCTTATTCATGGAAATATTTTAGTAATAATGTAATCAGACAAGTTGAAATTCGCTTAGTCTGCAGGTATGCGGCGGCGGGGGTATTTTGAATTTTCTCCGCACCCAATAACCGAAAAAAAAACACTAAAACATTATTTGTTTTTTAAGCTCTTTAAAATCTAAAGTAATACTAACTTTTAAGGCACAAAAAGGCTAATATATAATATAATGTTGACATTGCTGTTACAGGAGAGCCAAGGATGGAGTTCATTATCTTCCAGTTCCTGTGCGGTTATTGACAAACTTGCTTCTCACACACATTGGTATGATACACTATATTACACTGTTTATCTAAATTTATGAACAACATTTTATTCTTAGCAGGTAGGTATATAATTGGTTTTTCTTTTCTTTGTCATAAACTGAAAGGTTTTTCATACTAAGAGACAAGAAAACAAATAACAGATGCTGAAGAATCGTGGTCTTCTGTTGACGATTGTGTCTAACTCAAAAAAACACTATTCTTTACCAACATGTGGATAAAATCTAAGCTTAATCACATGCAGGGTGAGGAAATACTCAGGGTAGCATCAGTCTACCAAACAGGGTCCAAACCTGCCTAAGTTTGGTGGTCGCTGATTATTACCTGACCCAGTTTCTCGGCTTTTTCCGGCGGGTCGCCGGAATTCTACCCCCGGATATTTACCCCCATGAAAAAACGCCTACGTCATTTTGACGTCACTAGGGGCGGGGCCTATACACGGTCGAGAAACAGCCCGCGACTGGAAATCTACCCCCGGACATCCACCCCCGGACATCTACCCCCCCCGTGGTCAGCTCTGCCACGTATCGGCCAATATTCATTGTTGTAATTGATTTTATTAATTGCTTTATGTAAATCAACGGCTCTTCGGTTAATCATTACCCTCTAATATCTAGTATTAATATCTAGTATCAGCATGCGTATGTCTCAGGAAGATCATGCTAGACTGCGTTGCACCAACTTGTAAGCAAGATTGAGAAAGCTCTAGAGAGCAGTGAAGTGGCCCTGGGTGCCTTTCTCGATATTCAAGGTGCTTTTGACAATACTGGTAGTCCAGCGATTCTTAATGCGGTGAGAGCAAGAGGTTTTCACGGTATAATATGTAGATGGATTGAAACCTTGCTTCTCAGTAGGAAGGTTAGGCTCTCACTCCACAATGATACGATCGAGGCAAGAACTACTCGAGGATGTCCTCAGGGGGGGTTCTTTCTCCTCTACTTTGGAATTTGGTAGCAGACGACCTTATAAGGACCCTCAACGAAAGTGGGGTTTTCGCCTTAGGTTATGCTAATGATGTCGCAATCCTTGTGGTTGGAAAGTTCCACGGAACCATAACTGACCTTATGAATAGAGCTTTAAGGGTAGTGGACCGTTGGTGCCAGGAAGTTGGGCTCTCTATAAATCCCAGGAAAGTTGTAATGGTACCCTTCACAAGAAGGAGGAAACTGGATGGGATCGGCCCACTAAGACTGCAGGGTACTGTAATAGAGCTGCAGAATCAGGTGAAGTATCTTGGTGTAATTTTGGACAGATCACTTCACTGGGGACCACATCTTCAAAAAGTCATTGAGCGTGGCAAATGGTCCCTTATGGCATGCAGGCGGATGGTAAGTGGCACATGGGGGTTACAGCCTAAACTTATGCACTGGCTGTATGTATCTGTTGTTCGACCCGCCCTTACATATGGTTCGCTTGTGTGGTGGCCAAAGATGGAATCAACTATAGCTGTTAAAGCTTTAGCAGGAGTTCAGAGGCTTGCTCTTATAATGTTAACTGGGGCAGTAAGTAGCTGTCCTGGAGCGGCACTTGACTGTCTGCTTGACATGTTACCTATTGACATTTATATTAAGGTGGTAGCAAGTAAAACAGCCCAACGCCTTAGATGCGAAAACTTATGGATAGCCTCAGGAAACAATAAAGGGCACTCCAAAATTGTTCAGGTGGTACATAATGATGAATTGGACTTACCTTCAGATCACATGTCCAAAAAATACTCCTTTGGAAAGCCTTTCAAAGTACTAATACCAGATAGGAAGGATTGGTCTGGCGGAAAAGGACCCATACCCACAGGTGACTTAGAATGCTATACTGATGGTTCTAAGATCAAAAATGGGGGCACTGGAGCAGGTGTGCATTGGATGAATGGAGGCACTGGTATTTGTCTTCCAATGGGGGTGTACCCAACTGTCTTTCAAGCGGAGGTCACTGCCATTCTAGTTTGTGCTCAAGAACATCTTAACAAAGATATCAGAGACAAAACAATCAATATCTATACTGATAGTCAAGCGACCTTAAAAGCATTAAACTCTTACGAATTCAACTCCAGGCTCGTGTGGGATTGTCTTGCTTCTGTGTCTGAGTTGGGTAGGAGAAATGACCTTACGCTTTGCTGGGTACCAGGACACTCAGGCATTAAAGGAAATGAAGCTGCAGACAGATTGGCAAATACTGCCTCTGCGACATCATTGTTAGGCCCACAACCCTTCTGTGGCATCTCACGAAACAGTGTATGTTCTGCGATTGCGTCATGGGCCAAGGAAAAGCATCGCAAACGCTGGGTCGATGTTCCCCTTCTTAGGGTCAGCAAGCTTACTCTGTTTAGGCCTTCCAAAAAGGTTGCCTGTGACCTCTTGAGACTAGACAGACGAAGAATTAAATTTATTGTTGAACTGATAACTGGTCATGGAAGATTCAGGAAACATCTACAACGGATGGGCTTATATGATGGTGAACCGATCTGTAGGTACTGTGATAGGTCAGAAGAGACAGCTGATCACTTACTCTTTGATTGTAACGAGCTCTCTGACGCTAGATCGATAACTCTTGGAAATATGGCTAGAGGTAGATATCTTCCTGAGGATGAACTAATTGGGAAGCTACAGGCATTCATTGGGCGCCTCAACTTGTAGGTCAACAAGAAAGCAATTAAGTATCTGGGGTGCGCAATAATTCGATTTCGGATGAAGTGCTTTAAGGTCTCGACCTGCCCCTGTTAGATAAGATAAGATAATAAGTATTAAGCATGTGATAAGTCATTGCCTTGTTTAACATTATCTATCTTCCTAATAAAATAAGCTGTAACAGCCCTTTTTCATCCAAACTACTTCACTGATATATATATATATGATTTTATGTGTAATTTTAAATCTAAAGATCCAGCGCAACGAAAAATGGTATTTAAAACTATATGTTGATAAAGGGCTTCAAAAGTGCAACCCGTAAGCATTTTATTTATTTCCAGACAGTGATTTAAATTGTTGACCAACTTTCACATACAGTAACAGCTAACGGCGCATGCACGAGCGCGGATCGGAAGTGTTTATCACAAAAGATTGACCAATACGATTTTAATACTATTTGAAGGTTCTTCCAAAAGAAGAGAAACCAGATAACATTGTAATAATAACTCTTATGACGTACGGTATGGGAAATATTTTATTCATTGAATAATCAACCATATTTTGTAACTAACGCAATAGTCATTATTGCTTTTACCAAAGATTACGTAGCATTATGTAATATTTGCTTTTACACTTATTATTCATCAAAAAAGCTAAAGAGCTAAATGCTCAAAATTTTTATTACTTCAATCTATCTATCGCAGTTATATGAATTAGCATAAGCCTTGAAAGTAACCGTCAATGTCGACGGGTTTAACCTAATTCTGTTCTGTATACTACCTTAAAATGCCTCATTTTAACATTTTACTGGCAGGAAACCTGCTTATTCACTTCCTATATGGTATTCTTATGAATGAATCTTTTGAACACTTATTTATGGACATAAGTTGACAAGTTTTGTAAGGCAGGATTTTCCAATAAGACTTTATACATTCTCTGAATATGCGAATGTGCTGCAATGGGGGTATTTAGGCGTACCATTGATATATATATATTAAAAGATATTAGGCTACGCTAAAAAAATTGAATGTGGCCATTATTTGAATTTTAATAATTGTCTTATTTTAGGTCTTTAAGAGAAAATACTTTAAAATCCTTTCTTAGTACGCATCTAAAATCTTAGAAACTAAATTTTTTTACTACTAGACTAGGTGATATGAAAAATTTACCATTATACACCTGTCTTTTATTGATCATCTTTCTCAATTTAACAGTTTAGAACTGAGTTGGTTTACTAAACAATTATCACTACTAGGCCTACATTGAATTAACCGGAAGCTCACCACAGTTTATTCACTTTATCCTTTAAGAAATGTGTGTAAAAACAATGGTTCAGTACGATGTAACACTTGACCATATGAAAAGTGCGCAATATTATATTATTTTCATAACTTGTTCATCTCCGGTTTACAGTTGCAGACGATCTATTCATGTTTTCACAACCTGACTTAAAAATTGATCTGATGAGTACTACTCACATTTCACTTTTAAACTGTTATTGTATAGTGTAAAAGTTGGTCAACCATTGGATGCACCTTCTATGAATAAATCAAAGGCGTAGGGGTCAACCTCTTGAAGCCCTAATCGAAATATCCTTTTAATTACCGTACCATTTTGTGCTGCGCTAGATCTTAAGCTTTTAAATAACACCTCAATCGTAAAAATAAGTGAAGTAGGTCGGGTTGAAAAGGACTGTTACAACTTATTGAATTATAAATATGGATAATGTTAAAACAGACATCGACATATCGAATGTTTACTACTGGGTATAAGAAGGTAAAGCAATTTATAAAATCAATTACAACAATGAATATTGGCCGATACGCGGCAGAGCTGACCACGGGGGGTAGATTTCCGGGGGTAGATGGCTGGGGGCAGATGTCCGGGGGTAGATTTCCAGTCGCGGACAGTTTCTCGAATATGTATAAGCCCCGCCCCTCGTGACGTCAAAATGACGTAGGCGTTTTTTCATGGGGGTAAATATCCGGGGGTAGAAATCCGCTACCCCTTTCCGGCCATACATGTTCAAGATAGGTAACGCCTTGTCACCCAATACTGCCTTGGCACTCCTGACGATGCGGAATATCTTTATTCCCTTCTCGCGCTGGGAAAGCCGCCTGGAGGCTCAACAGTATGAAGGACTGCTTTTGGTGGACTTGGTTATCCCAATGATGACCTCTGGAGAGTAAGGAAAATTGGACCTGTGTGTCTCATTTCGTCCAGGGTATTCTCCGCGGAAAAATGGTCGAGCTTAAAAAAACAAAAAAAAAACTGATTATCAAAAATGATGCGAGCCCTGATAACTTAAGTCACAATTTAGTCTGACTTAAAGTAATTCGACAAACAATCCCAGGTCTATGTCCAACAGAGTAGAGTGGTT